ACAGTTATTTTTTAAAGTTTTATATAAAAAAACGCGACATAACATAACGGGGGAGTGTTTTCTAAACTCATTTGTAGTGTATATGAATTGATCAACAAAAATTTCTAGAATTGATTTCCAAATTTGGAAATCTCCCTGACTGAATTACCATATCAATTCCAACAAATGATGACCAAGTTGCAGGTTCACATCTGAGAAATTAATTCATAATTACTAGATTTGTCATAGGAAAAGTTTGATGATTTAATCAAAATCGACCAATATCTATTACAGATGCACCATTCTCTAATGTTTCTTTCACAGAAGAAAGTTTACCATTCCATAAATTCATAATCATTTTCTGACATTGGAAAATGCTACCATCTCTAGCTTGAACTAATTCGATTCCACTCGAAACTAAAACTTTCCTCTCGACCTTATATACATTTTAATTTCCTATTTAATAATCCAGCACAGTCCTTTCTAGAACGGTTTCAAAAGTATTGACGGTAACGCCAATACTCTTCTTGATATGTGCCGTTTCCAATTTTTTATATTGCTCTGCTCATCTACTGGCATGATCTTTAGTTTTAATTCAGGATAAGCATAGAAGCATAGTAATTAGTGAATTTATTTTGGTTCACTAAAATATTTACAATGATTGTAAATTAAAGCATCAGGTGAAATATTAAAAGGATTCAATCAAACAATTAGGAGGCTTTACAGGCTTTGTATACCCCTGTACAAATCTAGTCTTTCTATGCTTTCTGCACAAGGCTTTCCATACTAAATCCAAATGAGCACTTTCGTCAAGAATTTTGACATCCCAGACGCCATTCTGAATATATATTTCATCTTTTCTTTTAAAGTTATAATATTGTAGTTTCGATTATTAAAATAAATAAAATATTCTAACACTTTTTTTTTTTTAACGAAAAGATTTCATAGTTCTCGTCTAACTTCCCCGTTTTTAAACAGAATCTAGGTTTATTTTTTAGGGACATAAAATTGTTATTTGGGGTCATAAAGTACTTTCAAAGTCGGATAATAGGAATTTTAATAATGTTGTTTTATTATTACTCAAGTTATAAAAAAGCTTGAAACATTAAGTTCTTATCAAAACTTAAGATACATACGGTATAAATTTAATGAGTTGTTATTGCGTACGTATTTGCGTAGCATAGTGGACATTGTTGCAGATCACAAAAATGATCAACATAACATGTGTTATGGTGAAAGTTCTTGCAAAAGTTTGATTATAAAAGTGTGAGATAATTTTGATCTTGCTGATGATCTGGACTTGGAGAGGCTACAGCTATATTCTAGTGAAGTTTCAGAAGCACCAGACTCTGTGTAACCACCTGCCTATTATACAAATGACTGTTGCACAAAATGAGTGTCCATTATGCTTATTTGCGTAGTTAACAAAAACATGCATTTCAGTTCTTTGGTCTAGATGCTGTATATATTAATAAACTATTATTATAAAACCGCGATTCAACTAGTCGAATTGGCAGTTTGTGAACTGAGCTGTTCACATTCTCCATGCTATCGTAAAGATAAAAAATTAATATATATATACTGTAGAGGTTGGCACCACGCAAAAATTCTTTAATCGGTTAATTAACCATTAAAATTAAGAGTTAACCGGTTAACCGGTTAATTTAGTCATGTGGAATTTTTTAACTGGTAAATTCGATCGTTCATTACTTACAAAATAATCACGTGCCTGTTGAATTTTATTATTATACACTTAATAGATGCTAAATGATTACAGTCAAACCTCGCCACAGCGGATTCATGGTTCAAGCCAAAAAAATCCGTTATTATTATTATTATTATTATTATTATTATGACAAGAAGTCCGCAGCGGCAAAATTGGTGATGATCGGGCAAAATTTTTTTAATAATACAAAGCTCTCTCTCTATACTGAACCCTCTGTCCATTATATGCATTTTTCTGCTTTTGT